CAACTGCTGCTGATAATGCGATTTAAGGGTTTTTTGTTGAAGATCAATCTTCTTTTTTAGGCTTGTCTAAATACAAAATACCCGCTTATACTTGTTTTTTTTTTTTACAACAAGAAAATATGAATTACCTCACTTTCCGTTAGACTGGCTATTTTTTCTTGCAACGCTTTTTTCTGTATTTCTAATGTATCGGCCCGAGACTTCTGTTTTTGTTGAAAGTCTTGCAACATTTCTTTTTGGTTTCTTAAAGTAGCGCAATCTTTTTCTAATTCATCACAACGAGTTTTAAGCTGAAAATCAAAAATGTGTTTAATAATGAAAAGTTTCTTTATAAAATCGGCACATAAAAAAAAGTGGTGTGTGCTTTTAACCAGACCCAACACCCACATGACGAGGCGAAAATGGTTCCCATAAGGGAGCACAACACAAGCATTTCTTAGTAGGGAGCCACAGACGTGGACACCCGAACATACACTTGCTTGCAGAGGAGCCCTCGCCAAGGCATGTCAGAAGGCATATATATGAACTGACGGACGAAGTCCAGAGGCTCATAAAGCAACCTCTGGACCCGTCAGCATATCGACAGGCCCTGAGCGGCATTCACAGGGAGTCAGTCTCAAGTTACGTAGACTCCACATCTGTGGCTCCCAACCAGAAACTGCTTGCAGGGCATTATGTTATGCTCCTTGACTGGGAGCATTTTCACCTCGTCATGAAGGTGGTGTTCTGGCGACATCAGGAGGCATCCAGTCGCTGTCCTGAGTGCGGTGTTTTGTGTTGTCTGTAGCTTCATCCACTGCGTCCTACTAGTCCCCGGCGATCACACTGGTGCTGCGTAGTTTAAAACCGGCCGGCCTATTGCCTTGTATGTTGCCAGCAACGTTTCTTTGTCTTTGCCCCAAGTACTGCTTGCTAGCGACTTGAGGACCCTGTTGCGGCTCTGTACTTTATTGACAATAGCGGTTGCGTGCGCAGAGAAGGAGAGCAAACTGTCGAATGTTGCTGGGGCTATTCACCGTCGGAATTGGTGTATCATCGCATGAATTCCCAGCAGTAGCCTGACCTCCTTCGTCCAGGTGGCTAACAAGGCCGCAGAGGATTTCGTAGGGCAAAGGGCTAGGCACTTTGCAGTGGTGAAGCGAGAAAGCTCGGAGAGATATCCGTTTACTTTCGAACACAAGTCATCAATTCCATTCCCAGTCGCCATGATCAAACAATCGTCGGCGTAAGAGACAATCGAGATTCCCTCTGGTGGTTGAGGGAGCTTTGAAATATAAAAGTTGAACAGTAGCGGGTAAAGGACATCACCCTGTGGAACCCCCTGTTTTATTTTCCTGAGTTTACTCGATTTGTCTCTAAACATTACCGACGAGTTTCGACCACTCAGATAATTTGCCGGCCACCGGTTGAGCCTTTGTGGGAGAGAGGAAGCCTCTATATCTACTAGTAGCGTGGAATGGCTGACAGTGTCAAACGCCTTTGACAAGTCCAACGCTACTAGAATCGGTAGTTAGGTTTGGTTGAAAGCACACACAACATTTTTTTCTATGCCGGTGTAATTAGTGAATAAATCAAACTGAAACCTAAGTAAATAATTTAAGATACTCTTATTTGACATCGTTTTTAAATTGCAAAAATATGATTGCCAGAAGGGTAATCATTATTTAATTTTTTTTTTACCCTACCTTCTCGTTTAGATAATCGACCTTAACAAGTTTATCTTTATACTTGGTTAGTTCATTTAGCGCAACTTCCTCTGATCTCTTACATCCATGAAGCTTAACCTCTAGCTCTTCTATTTGTTGTTTATACATATTAGCACATTCATTTGATTTCCTATATTACAAAATCAAAAAAAAAAAATTGTAAATATATAGCTTTACACGTGTAGGGAATATAATATTTCTCTATGCTTGTTGCCTTACCTGGATGAAGTTGAAAGTTCATTTTCGAGCTTCTCACTTTTATCCTGAAATTTCGTTACTAAATTCACAGCCTGCGCCAACTCTTTTTGAAGTGTATCTATTTTGATGTTGCTTTCCGTCTTTTCCTCCTCCAGCTTTGAAACATTTTCTCGCAGCTGACGAGCCTCAGTGTCTAAACTATAAAGGANATGTTGCTTTCCGTCTTTTCCTCCTCCAGCTTTGAAACATTTTCTCGCAGTTGACGAGCCTCAGTGTCTAAACTATAAAGGAGTAAATTTATTATTAGCTGAGCGGTACATTCCAAATTAAAAAAAAAAATACAAATACTTACATTTTACATTCAGATTGGGCATTGCAGATTGCTGCATCTTTTGCACGATCCACTTCGATGGCCACTGACAATCTTTGTTGATATTCAAGAAGACGCGTTTGTAACGCATGTACGGTGCGCTCCAGGTGTTGACGTCGCAGCTGTTCCTCTATAAATACAGAATTCTGCGGGGCAGCGCAAGCAATAGCAGTACCTTGTCCGCTTTTACCCCAGATTTCACTTAAACTAATTAAATTCAGATCTGCACCCTTGGTCCCTTTCACTTCTGAATAAGCTGACTGATAACAATTGCCTTTAGTTTTACATTTATCCATTGTTTGCGGCTTGTATAATTCATTATTTGGATTTAAATGTAAATTGATTATTTGTTCTCGGTTACGATCACCTAAGAAATCATCAATCTCCGTTAGTATACCTCCAGCATCATTTTTATAAAAGTCATCTGTTCCGCCTATACATTTTGGGGTAGAGTGAACCAGCCCCGCCCTTGTGTTGTGTTCAGCTCGTGTACCATTTGAAATCGTAGAAATATCAGAAGTCGCAATGAAATGGCAGTCTTTTTCACGTTCCATTAACTTCAATCGGGAATTGATTTCTTGTAGTTCAGCATTTCTGTTTGCTGTAAGCAGTTCATGTGTACGCAGAGTGGTGGAATCCATGATGATTTTATTTGAGTCGGTAAGTGTGGTATCCATAGATTGGCATGGCTTCTTTGAATGGAGTGGCTGACTTGTATAACCGTTTACAGCGTTGAAATGATTTTCATTCCAATTAACTGCAGCTGGCGGAGTTATTAACGTATGAATTGTCCGAAACTCTTCCAACTCCTCAGGCGTTGCTGTGACAAAGTAATTCGGTGGTATCAACAGCAAAATATCAGTATCACCTGAATCACTCATTACACCGCATTACCGCGCAGATTCTAACAAAAATAGAGCATAATTTCTATTAATCGAATAAAACAAGTTTGCGTATGCCAAAGTGAATTCAAATATTTGCAAGTAGTGATGGCACGATTAATTGAATAACCGATTATGTTCGGTTGTTTTCATTCGGTTACCGATTTAATAGTATCGAAATTTTCGTTTCGATTAGTCGAGCAGGTATGACCATATTTTCATTTTATTTTCCGAATTCGGTGTTGCGAATTTTCTTCTTTTTTCTATGGAAGATAACAAGCAACACCATTACCAAACAGATAAATGCCAAACATCAATGGGCTACAAAACTTCATACTGAAAATCTGTCTAAGAAATCTAATTAAAAAGCTGGAATTTTTTGTTGATACTTTTTTTGTTAATATTGCAAAATTGTTGATTTATTTATATTTATAGTTTTTTTGCTAAACAATAAGCTATATTTAAAAAAATACCTAAAATTTAATAACAAAAAAAAATCTTGTGCACTATAATTTTGACACGGGGTGAAGTCAGTTTTTACAACTTACAAATGGTTTTTATTAACTTTCGATTTTAATCGAAATGACCGATTAATCGGTAAATCTCTTACGATTAATTGCAATTATTAATCGATTGCTTTCGATTAATCAATTAACCGGTTAATCGATTATTAATTATTTTTGCCATCACTAATTGCAAGTTTATTTTGACGTACATATCTGTGTTCGTATGGAAAAGTAGCTTATGTCGAAAGGCTGGCTTTAGTATAATGCGGCAATCCCTTTATTTTTTAAACGGCAAGGAATTTTTTGATGAGACTTAATAGGAATATTGACTTGCAAGTATCGGAACTATTTCTTCCACGCTTATTTGCCAAAAGTTGTTCAACAGCTTAGCGCCAGTGAGTCATTCGCAATCGTATGCTGCGAATGCCGATTTATATTAAAGCCAGCCTTTCGACATAAGCTACTTTTCCATATGAACACAGATATATAAGGCTTCTGCTCCACAGGAAAACACTGATATCGTGATAACCTGTGACATAACATTTTTGGAGACCGCCTATTTCGAATAGGCGAATATATGTAGCTCTTACGTACATCATTGAAATTGAAGCTATATTTTCAATGAAGTTGGTCGGCGCCAACTTTCGCTAACTTTTGATTAACTAATCGCCTGTGAAGTCAAACAATGCAAACAGCGCATTAGCGAATAGAACTCTGAAATTACTTATTGTGAATGTAAATGAGCACAACAAAAACAACCCTGTTTGGCATAACTTGAGCATTACACGATCAAGAACTTGCATTTCAAGTGGCAATAGTCGCCTTCCCAACTCAATTCCCAATTTTTGTTCTGCGTTAATTTGATTTAATTATTCATTACAACGCTTTTAAACGTGTGGAATTAACTTTCTTCAGTTAAAGCAAAGAGTGAAATAGAGGTTCTTGTGATGTAGACAAAAATGCTCAGCTGACGAACTCGCAAACTTTTTTCTCAAAACCTGTTATACCATGTTCTGACCGACATCGAAAACTATGTTTCGTGCTTAAAACTGGTTTTTGACCTAAACTTGTGTTTTCGTCCATGTAAAATCTGTCAAACGAAAACCAGTTTTCGCTGAAAACTACTTGAAAACTCACGGCCGGTGAACGGAACAGCCGGGTGAACAGCCTTCAGCCCACACCCAAGAACTCGTTTTCAAAGTGTTTTCGTTGGGCGTCAGAACATGGTAATACAAGTCGCGTTCTTGCGTGATTTTTAGTTCATTCGCACATATGTACATATGGATGTATAATACAATTTTTATGAAATATTTTGTGAAAATATTTAACATTCTCAAAATTAGGTTGCTTCTTTTTTCATTACTTTAATTTGATTATATATATAAATTAATGTATTTAATTATTTATTTAAAGCTATTCAAAAGCCTTGCGCGGATACCCACGCTACTAACAAAAATTCTTTATTGAATCAATTATCTGTTTGAAGCTCTTACTTCCTATAAAATGTTTGTTATGGTATAAATAAAAATTATTTTTTACCTAGCATTTAGTATTTCAGAAGTATAGATTATTTTTCCGAATTTTTGAATACAACGGCTGAATACAAATGGCGCGAACATGGACATTCATATACACATATGTATGTGTGTGTGTGTTTTCTATATAAATGAAAAGATAATCACCCAACTTCATTCCTAACACTGTATTTAACTCCTTGGTGTATAAAAATTATTACTCATTTGTATTAGGCGGCGTGAGGCGTTGTGTGGGTGCATCAAAATCACTCTCTGCTTTGGGGCTGTCAATCGCATCCGAATTTGAACCTTCACTAAAATCATGGTCCATTCCATCGCCAGTGCTCCCCTGGAAATTATGTGCAGCATTCATGTTTTCTGCGCCCTTCATCTTTTTATCCATATTCTCTATTTTGTTCTGCAGCGTTGATATTTTTTCTTTTTTTGTATTCAATAAAGCAAGAAATTTTTGCAGCATTTTCTGCTTCCACTCTTCTTTTTCTCGTAACACTTGTTCAACGTCTTCAATTAGACGAGCAATGGTATCATTTGTTTTTTGGGTTTCGTTTCCACTTCCGTCCGTATCTATTATTTTGATCGCAACCTCCAGCATTTCATAACTTTTATCAGCTTCAGTAAGCTTTATTTCCAAATACTGAATGCAGAATTCTTTATTTTTGTTTACTCTAAGGATTTTTCTTTCGTTATCCAGCTCTATCTCAAAGCCAGGTAAGCCGATGTTACTGGTAAGCACACTTTTACACTCTCCACGGAAATCATTCAATGGTATTTCTAATTCTGCTGCAGGTTCCTCGAAATCCTTGGCGAGTAATAGGCCTTTGTAATATAAGCCGGAATTCGAATATTTTAGATATAAGCTAACGGCATCATCATGCCACTCACTATGCAGATAAATATAGCATTTACGATCTGCTCCTGGACTTTTGAGCAAAAGCTTTTTTAGAAAAACTGAATCCATCTCTTTTGTGTCCAAATAAACAAATGGTAAAATGGTTCTTGTGAAATCGTACACGAAAAGAAAAACATTTAACAGCTGTTGTTTACATTAAACAATCATAATGCTAGGGCCACACTTCAAATTGCAAACTGTAATCGAACGTTTTATCGATTTCCCCATTTGCTTAATGGCAGAGTTATTGGGGTAGGAATAATACGGAATAATAGACCCGCCTGAAGGAAACAAATTAATAATGTTACATATATTTGCAGCTCATGGTTTTTAGTCGTTTGCTTTATTCCGCGGCTTTTGTTAAAACCATTTAAAATTTGAAATCAGATTTTCAATTAAAAACCTACTAAAAATGGAAATTCGATAAAAGTTTGATAAGTACATACATATGCATATACGAAAATCATATGCTTCAGNCGCGGCTTTTGTTAAAACCATTTAAAATTTGAAATCAGATTTTCAATTAAAAACCTACTAAAAATTGAAATTCGATAAAAGTTTGATAAGTACATACATATGCATATACGAAAATCATATGCTTCAAGGCCGGTGGTTCCATGTCTGGTTAACACAAATCGGAGGTAGAAGCTCCGGTTAAATACAGCAACTGCTTTATCGATTCCATGTTATATGCATGACGTCCAAATCGTCGATAATGATGTACTGGTGATAACCAGACATTGAATTGATAACCAGCACCAGTGTGGTCGCCGGGGACTAGTAGGACGCAGTGGATGAAGCTACAGACAGCACAAAACACAGCACTCAGGACAGCGTCCGGATGCCTCCTGATGTCACCAGAACACCACCTCCATGATGAGGCGAAAATGCTCCCAATTAGGGAGCACAACACGAAGCTCTGCAAACAGTTTCTGGTTGGGAGCCACAGATGTGGCCACCCAAATAGACAGCTGCTTGCAGAGGAGCCCTCGCCAAGGCACGTCAGGAGGCATCTATATGAACTGACGGACGAAGTCCAGAGGTTCATTAAGCAGCCTCTGGATCCGTCAGCTTACAGACAGGCCCTGAACGGCATTCACAGGGACGCAGTCTCGAGTTATGTAGACTCTAGACCTGTGAATGCCGTTCTAGGCACACAAACACCGGACATTGACGCGACAGAGCTCCATCTGCCTCGGGAGACCAGAACAACAATAGCCCAACTTCGCTCAGGCTACTGCATCAGGCTAAACTCCTACCTGAGTAGGCTAAATGCGGATGTGCCGAATGAATGTCCGGCATGCGGAGAGACCCCTCACGACTCGAAACATCTCTTCGCATGCCCGGAAAACCCTACAACCCTAACGGCGTCGTCCCTGTGGACCGACCCCATAGTGGCTGCACGCTTCTTGGGGCTGCCGTTAATGGAACGCGACAACGACTGAGATATCAACCGATCTGGGCGGGGTTGTTGTAGCCGCTACAACAACAACAACAACCATACATTGAACAACCGGCCCTTAAAGTTCAACCTGCATTTTAAGAAGTTAAGTGGGGTAGCTACTCCGTGCCATGGCTATCATAGGGGAGGATCAAAGCGGTTTGAAACACTGCACTGTAAAAGCAGCTTTGGTCATTATCGATTTTCATTGGCGCATCAAGGGTGTTGATTGTTTCGTTAATGGCTGTTATGGACGGATGAATCCTCTTACAAAACACTCATTGAGAATTTCCGCGATATACATTTGCAATAAATTAAATAGCACATCTTCTAGTAGTAGTATTTATTATGTTTAAACATCATAATTTGTTTTCATAATAGGATTGTAAATAAAATGTATAATTAATAAGTTAATATGAATACATAATTTTATATTTTAATTGCATAAAAGCAATTGTAGATTGATAAATTTTTGTTCACTGAAAAACAGCTACTATTCAATTTGGAATCCCCCATACATTATATATGAATGTGTGTATAGAAGTATTTATGTATGTACATTAAAGCAAAATAATAAAATAATTTTGATTACAATTTGGTTTATAAACAAAACTTAAATTACACAAAAGTTACTAGAAAATATTAACAATCAAATACATGTAATGCACCTAAATAAGGAAAGAACAAATTTATAGTCTTTATCGAGTTAAATATTTGTATACTCAATACATATAAATGTATGTATGTACAATAGTTAAATGAATTTAACGTTTGAGCTTTGGTCAATACATATATGTTTGTTTTAACATCTTACTTGACAAACAATGTCTCAAAAAAATGTAGCAATTTTACCACACGAAATACATGATATACATACATATATAGAGTGAAATTCATTATACAAACTAAGTAATTTCATAATGAAACGCAAGCCCAAAAACTAAGTAATGCATATGCGCAAGAAATGATTTCACATATGGCTTTGTTTAGCTGCAATCAATACTTATACAGTAAATAACATATTTTTGAAATATACTTGGAAATCATAACTTTCCATTCTTACGCACTTTTAAATGATAATAAATACATTACATATTTGCAAATGCTAGCTGTAGACATTTAAAAAATGGTTATGTTATATGTGCGACTCCTGAACGTGAATCCTCATAGAATAAGCAAATCATCATCACCGGGTTTTTTAGTCGATTTCTTTTGGTTATCAACTCCGACGGCATTATTTGCGCTGGTATTCGAGTTGGTTGCCGTTAGGTTTGGAAGATTTTCGGCGGCTGCTGCTCTCTCTTCCAAAAATTTATCAAACTCTGTGCTCGTTAAGGTTTCCTCAAATCCCTCAGCGCCCTCTTTCTGCAAATTTCAATAGTTTACTCAAAGTCGTAAATAAATATGTATCATATGTATGTACATATATACGAAGATTATTGTTTAAAAATTGTTTGAAAAGTTAAAACAAACACTATACAGGCGTGATCATATAATAAACTAAAAACTACATAATTATCCTGATTACTTACAGAACTGCCTAACCATGCCTCCATCTCATCAACTTCGTTTTCTCTTGCCGGCTTGGGTTATGAATCATTCAAAATACGTAACCGAAAAATAACAAATTAAAAAAGCATAAATTTATTACAGGAACGTAAATCTGTACATACATACATACACACAAATAAAAAAAAATGCTTTAGAACATGTACATATCGTCGTTTAAAGTGCAAAACCGCGTATCAACAAAAAGCAAAACCGCGTATCAGCAAAATGCAAAACCGCGTATGTGAAGTTTTAGAAATTATTTTCTAGAGTGTAAAAACACTCATATTTCAAAATGTTTCTCNAAGTCGTAAATAAATATGTATCATATGTATGTACATATATACGAAGATTATTGTTTAAAAATTGTTTGAAAAGTTAAAAACAAACACTATACAGGCCTTGATCATATAATAAACTAAAAACTACATAATTATCCTGATTACTTACAGAACTGCCTAACCATGCCTCCATCTCATCAACTTCGTTTTCTCTTGCCGGCTTGGGTTATGAATCATTCAAAATACGTAACCGAAAAATAACAAATTAAAAAAGCATAAATTTATTACAGGAACGTAAATCTGTACATACATACATACACACAAATAAAAAAAAATGCTTTAGAACATGTACATATCGTCGTTTAAAGTGCAAAACCGCGTATCAACAAAAAGCAAAACCGCGTATCAGCAAAATGCAAAACCGCGTATGTGAAGTTTTAGAAATTATTTTCTAGAGTGTAAAAACACTCATATTTCAAAATGTTTCTCTTTTTTTATAAAGAAATCGCATTTCTGCCTAGTATATTTCAGGACGAATGGATAAGGATTGAGCCAAGAGCTTGTGAGAGCAAATCCAATTTTTGGCAGCCAATGTCAGTTACGCGGTTTTGCAGAATGAAGATACGCGGTTTTGTACTTTAAACGACGATATATATAAATTTACAAATACAAGTATATAAATGAATACACTCTACACACTGGGCTTAATATTAAAAAAGTTCTACTCACTTTACTTATAGCCGCAGTTTCTTTAGTACGCTTGAAAGGTAAATTAATACTACCAGCTGCTGCATCAACTGTGGGAATGTCTTTCAACAGATCGCTTTTGCTGGAAAAGTGTGATTATTAATAAATGAAGATAAAATGTAGCAAATAAGTCCATAGAGAAAGAAAATAATTGAAATTAAATACATAAAGAAGTAAGATGAAATAAAAATACTGNTAAAAAAGTTCTACTCACTTTACTTATAGCCGCAGTTTCTTTAGTACGCTTGAAAGGTAAATTAATACTACCAGCTGCTGCATCAACTGTGGGAATGTCTTTCAACAGATCGCTTTTGCTGGAAAAGTGTGATTATTAATAAATGAAGAGAAAATGTAGCAAATAAGTCCATGGAGAAAGAAAATAATTGAAATTAAACACATAAAGAAGTAAGATGAAATAAAAATACTATTTTCATTCTGGAAAATGANTAGTATATTTCAGGACGAATGGATAAGGATTGAGCCAAGAGCTTGTGTGAGCAAATCCAATTTTTGGCAGCCAATGTCAGTTACGCGGTTTTGTACTTTAAACGACGATATATATAAATTTACAAATACAAGTATATAAATGAATACACTCTACTCACTGGGCTTAATATTAAAAAAAAGTTCTACTCACTTTACTTATAGCCGCAGTTTCTTTAGTACGCTTGAAAGGTAAATTAATACTACCAGCTGCTGCATCAACTGTGGGAATGTCTTTCAACAGATCGCTTTTGCTGGAAAAGTGTGATTATTAATAAATGAAGAGAAAATGTAGCAAATAAGTCCATGGAGAAAGAAAATAATTGAAATTAAACACATAAAGAAGTAAGATGAAATAAAAATACTATTTTCATTCTGGAAAATGATATGTACTTATTTGTGTCGGTCCTCGATTGCGCCAACATATCGAATTCATCCACATCTTTGTTTTGAGGTTTAGCTGCACTCGTGTCTGCAAAAAATTTTCAATTGAGTATTTAATTGATTAAAAATATTTTTATATTCTTTACTCATAAAGCTAAATGAATTTGATAGTTTATCGACTCTTGCATCCAGATCTATTAACCGTGGATCATTTTCTATTGTGCCAGCTTGTGAGGCACTAGTTGGTGGCGGTGCCCCTATAGCAGCGCCTAAAATAGCGGAAGGCGAGGTAGCACTGCTGCTAGATCGATTCTTTTCGTATCGTTGGTGGCGCAAGAATAAATTGTTTAGTTCATCATTAAGGCGTAGTAACTCAGCTGTTAGTTCGTCGTCATTAATTCGCCCAATTAAATCGACAATACGGCCTTGCATTTCTCTGAAATCAAGCGGAAAAATCATTTATATGAGTGCATTGGTCTATTGTTGATAATAATTATTAATTTACTTGCAAGTTGATGTTAATTCAGTCAGCAAAGCATAGTCGTCTGGATCCTCCTGTCCTGGTTTCAACTCAGTAAGCATTTCCCCAAGTACAGACATATTATGGGCCACGATTTCCAATTCTGATTGTAATTTAGCTGTTTGCTCTGCACTCAAAACGGTGGGTCCATTACTCTAAAAATTTAGCATTATAACAAATTCAAGGCAAAAATTTTGTAAATTTTACATGTGGTGCTATGGGCATTGCGTGTTGTGGAGAAATCGTTTGTTGAACATGTTGCGGCGGAGGCTCGGGTACACTCTACATAAATGCAGTACCAATTAATTTCATATACTATTAGATATTAAAGCTAGCTACTTACACGCTGTGGGGTATAAATTGGTGCCAAGTTCTCAATATCCGTTTGCGGGAATTCGATTCCCTTATTCTTCAACTCCATATACATTTGTGTAACACCATTCAAATCGGGTTGATTTTTAAAAGCATCCGCCCAAATTTGAATTAAGCTCAAAACTTTTTCCTGCATCAAAGCTGGTGGGTCATTTTTGGGACCAATTAATTTGACCAGTTCCTGAATGAAATCCTTCTGAGCAACTAAAACATGAAACGCCTTGCCACAGTTTTTGACGCAAGTCTCCAATACAGTAAGAGTATACATGATAACTTGATTATCTTTCCCAGCATTTTGAGAGAGCCTTTTCCGTATGGCTTTCATGGCGTCACGTGCCGTGTCAGAAGATTCATTAATCATATCGCATATTTCCATATTTAGGGCCCAATTTTCCGATGCCAGGGAGCTGTCGGTGGCTTGCTCTGGAAAATCAGAAATGCAAAAATCATGTTAATGTTTTTTTCAGAAATCCGTTGTGTATAAAGCACAAAAGTAGCACATCACTTAAAAATTTAGTGTAAAACTGATAAAGAATATGGTAAATAGCACAATATATTATTGAGCGTTAGCACAATAGTGTGAACAAAATAAATTTCGCTTTATACTAGGGCTAGTAGCTCTATCCAAATTTTT